CTCCCCCACCTCGCCAACACCCCCTCCATAGGTATTTTCCAACCCCCTCGGTACCTGGTGACTAGGGGTGGGGTTCCTTCGACCCAGCGGGCAATCAATTCCAAACTCAAATGAAATACTCGAGTGAAATATGAGATTGCCCGTCCTGTCTGGCCCCTCAGATTCCCACCCCCTCGCATACACCTTCTCTTTACCCGCCCCTCCTCGACGAATAATTCAATTTGTTTGTTCATAAAAATGAATGGGAAGAATGAAATTAATTTATCCTGCTTTTATTTTTCATTTTCACGCCGCCGATGTATTCCGGGATCTTTGGAGTTTACAGTAATTGTCAATAATTGAATTCCGTTATTATTTTGTTAAAAACAAGTTAATTATTCATTAATTGTTTTTACTTACGAATGATAACATCTGGGAATTGATCAACATTGGTCCGATATTTACTTTCTCAGCCAACCGAATTAAATTGATCATCAAATTATTAGTTTAGAAAAATGAAACTATTAACGCATTTTGGTTTTCGGTTCGTTGTGGTTATTTCATGAAATATCTGGAAACCCGTGGGAGATACTGAAATTTTCATAAGAACCTTTTCCGTAGAACTAATCAAGGCCCGCAGAAAACATCATAACGAAAATTCCGGCATCTCCCTTAATTTCGGAGATATTTCCAAAAAACCTACCCCACGATTTTCCACTGACATCGATTTAATTAAAAAATCACAGAATACAACTAACAAAATAAATTCTTCGATCCTCAGGTTCTCGCCCTGGAATGCTCAATGGTGAAATTCTTCAAGCCATGATTCAGGGGAAATATCTGAACCACAGGATGCATTAGTGCTCATTCACGCCGAAATTCACATGATTATTCCAGCTGGTACCATTGATGGAGAAGCGGTAACTAATCCAGCGGTTGCATTCCAAAGTTGGTAATCAAGCGCTATTTGAGAGCGTTGATCAAACGCTCTGATCGAAATCGTTCTATCCACTGGTTGTTGGTAGTTGCGATTAGATGTTCTGCGGGGGATAATAAAGGTCGAACTTCTGAGAGAGAATTCGTACCCAAGTCTTCCCTGTGATCATCGAAATCGAATCGTTCAAGAGGTCAGTACTCAAACGGCCAGAATCACTCGTTGACCTAACACCTGAGTCACCCCTAAACATTTTCCCCCAGAGGATCTCCCCAAATCATCCCCAAGAAATTCAATTCCCCCTATCCGAAAATATCATCAACCACAAATATTTTTTTCTCAGCCATTACGACGATTCAATGACAATTTCCATTATTTGTTATTTAACAATTATTGTTATTATTGGTTTACTTGTACTTTCATTTGTAGTTCTGAACAATTCATTCCGAACTTTCAGTAATTTCAATATTAACGGAGGCCATCGTAAATTCTGAGAATATATTGCCCAGAATAAAATAGCATCCACAAACTTCTGTTTGAATTTTCCATTCGCCTATAAATTTTCATAAATTTCTAAATTGATTGCCTCCCACTCATTTTTCGTTATTTTCACCGAGAAAACTCAGGTATTTCATCGTAATGAATCTCATCATTTTCCTCCGACCGAAGAACCAGGAAAATTCATATCAGGGGTGTTAAAATATCCCCTATATCAATATCAATTTAATTCAAACCTGGAGACCGCCAATAGCGGCTCTTTCTCCAGGTACTCTTTCTCATGAAATGAAACTGTCATCTCTGAAAAGATGAGTAATGAAAACATGAGAAATTGTTCTGAAGGGGGAATTCCCCTAGCCAAGAAAAATAGTGGGGGGAAAACACTGTCTTACCCCCTTCCCCTCCGGCAGTTTCATTTCAAAGTTTCAAAGGGAAAACTAGAAATACTTTAACTCAGAATGAAATTTCGAAAGGAAGAGGATGAGGTGGAGGAAGTTTCCCCCTTCCACCGGGTTGGAAAAATTTGTAATATGAGACTCCACGATGGAATGTATATTTGGTTTTCCAGTTGGTTGAATATCAAACTTTTTCCCTTGAAAATTCTTCTTCATTGATTCTTATTTTTCCTCCAGTCATTGAATTAACATGAGTTTGAAGAGTTTACGTGAATGCAAATGCTGGAAGACATTTTAACAGACCAAGTCCCTAACTGCCATTTTGATGAACAATTATTATTCAAATTCTATTCGTTATTTACCCAAACTCAACTACACTATTAATTCCTTAGAATTTATTAATTTATTAAATCTAATGCACATGAAAGCTCTAAAATATTGTTTAAAAAATATTGTCAAAGTCTGTCCACAAAACCAATCGTATTTTTATTGCTTTAGTTATCTCATTTATTTCGATATAAGTTATTATTTCGATATTAGTTTAGTTTTAATTCGGTAGGAATGTAGAAATGAATATTTCTCGCGTTATAATCCACTCAATAGGCAAAAGCTCGTAAATAATGAAAGCATCTATAACTCAGGTTCGAATAAATTTTAGTGGAATTGTTTTTGACGGGCCTTTATTTTTACGAAATTTTTTTGTCGGATTTTTTTCGACAGGATTTCGTTGTCGCGGGTGTTTTGGGCATGAACCGATGTAAATTGCCGATGACATCTTAATCGATTGATTGAATGGCTAAAGAGTCCCTAAAGTCTCGGAAAGAAATTTTATTCAAACGTGTCCCATGCCGTGTAGCCGTTTGGTAAAGTGCAATGGAAAATCCTCCCCCAAAGGCTGTTTGGAAAAGCAATATTGTGAATATGCGATGGAGTGGTCTGAGGTGAAAAAGGAATAAGGGGTGGCTCAGATGAGAAGGGGGTGCCCCAACGTGTAGAGAAGTAGAGTGAGGAATCAATACGTCATTTAGGCTGTTACCATGGTAGCACACAATCCCCTTCTCCTCTTTTACCCCATCCTTCAGACCTCCCTCTGTTGCAGTTCCACCTGCTACACAGCATCCCTTGTGATCACCAAGATGACTGTTTATTCACTCGAACAAAACAAATCGAAGAATCCAACAGGACTTGAGCGATAAATTGTCCTTTTAAGCTCCTTAGAATCAACTTTGCCATCTCCGTGCAAACTGCTTAGGAATAAATTACACATTTGCCTAACTTGTAAATCTATTGGATCAGTAAACCCTATTTCTAACAACTTTATCCTGTAATCGAGCAATTTGTTGTACAAGTTAAACAATCGGGAACTGAGGGCTTGGGGATTAAGCTGAGTGTCACGTTAAATCTGTGACTATTAACGAGGGACTCCTTGTTAAGTGGCTCAAGGAGAATTTCACGACATCCGAGTACTTTCCAGAGTCAAGAATTTTATTGTTATTTTAACGCATCATTATTTCAGGATTATGTTGTAACGCCGAGAGGGAAGGAGAATCATTTTACAAAAAAAAATTCAGTTTAGATAAATCGAAAAAACTTTGCAGGAATTTATCTCTGCATCTGACCGAGATAACAAAAATACTGTAATAACATTTTTTGCAGCTCTGAATTTACCCCATAAAAAAGGTTATCACAAAAATTTCGGTATCACCCCTAAATCCCGAGATATTTATTAAAAACTGGACAGCAGTGAAAATCATATAAATTTAATTCTCAAGAATTCCTCTTCCAACTCAAATAATCTAATAAATTAATTGATAAATATATTAGAACATACCAGAACTTTTCGAAAGGCCGAATAAAATATACATAAATAGTTTAAATTTCTTCGTCAATGTGCGAATAAAGTTATTCCGTTTATTATTCCATTGATAATTACAAAATAGATTTCCAATAAAAAAATTGTCAAAGAAAAATTAATTCTCGTTTAATATCGATTTAATGTTATTTCCTGGGTCGATTGAATTTCCAGGCTGGTTGACATGTTTCCTTATCTCCAGTTATTAAATTCACATTGGGCTTTGTACTCTCACGAGCACCTACGCAGGTGTATCTGCACCGAAGACAATAGAGAGAGGTGGAATGGGAATTTATCGAGTTATTCACGATAATGCAATATTACTTACCCTTTGTCATATAACGAGCAATACGGCAGACTGAGAGATCTTGCAAATGTCCATAAACTGTCGACTGTCCATCCGTTTAAGGGACACTTAATAACAATCGATGAAATGCTCGTCTGTCTCGCGAGATTATGATAGACCCCGCTATCTTTACTCCTCGATTTTATTCCCAGCAGTAAAAATTTTATATCTGGATGGGATGCTTCCAGATTCTTTGTCGCCTCCTGAGGCGGCAAGTTCATAGTTATTACGTTCAGATTGTATCTGAAGGAATATTAGTTAAATCAATACTCACAGTAATCTAATATTAACCTTCATTACACTGAATTTATGAAAAATATGTAATAACATTTTTCATTAACTCATTCATTCAAGTTTTTTTCCTGCGATTTAAGATCGATAATTTTAGATGAATTGATATTAAAATCATTTTTTAATTCCAATTATCTGACAATGTAGAAAGAATTTTGGACAAAGAGCAATAAATATGATAAATTGGTATTAAAAGAGTATTAAAAATACCTGGAGGTAATATCTTTGACAAAGTTCTCGACTTCAGGGAACCACTCCTCATTTTTGAACATGATGACATTAATTTTCGAAGAATTCTTCAACTGCATTTGCGCTACGTGGGCTAAATGGAGGAGTACTGTGGACTCTACGCTGCCATCGAAGCAAATTGCAACTTCCTTGGGTTTCTCGTAGAGTTTTCTGAGGGGAAATTACGAGAGAAGTTCAGAGGATGATGCAAACGCCCTTCCTCTCGTTTAAGATGGTTTAATAGTGGAAAGTGCCGAGTAAATACTACCTTAGCTCTTCCAGTGTCTTTCCGTAGTCATCACACTGACATTCGTCCATAAATGCCAAGAATTTTTCATGGGAGTCGACATGGGGATGTTTGTCATAATTTACGAATATCTCTCGTGGAAGTGAACTCCTGAATCTTTCCTGTGCCCTCAGTGTTTCATCCTCGCTGTCACTCTCAATCGTCACTCTTGCTTTGTAATAACTGAAATTTACAGTTCAATTTTTTAAAAATAGTTTTTGACTTAAAAAATGAAATTACATAGGAGAAAGAAATTATAATGACGATTATCATAATAAAAATAAAATTCTTATGAGTTCCTACCTTTCTCCAGTGATTGGATAAGATCCAAAAGCGACATTAGGGAATTCCTTAGCGACTTTAGTTAAAACATCAGCAAAAGACTCTTCTTTAGAATCCAGGAACAGCTCTCTCTTAACAAATTTTTCCCCCTTGAATAATTCCTGAAACAATTCTGAATTCAATGAAAAAGAAAGATTTCAATCTTTTCTGTGATGGAATTGATATTATCAGTGTCGCTACCTTGCAGAGGCTTTGGAAAAGTCTTTCCAGGTAGACTGGAGATCCCGGGAACACATAAACATTTTCGACATTGACACAAGGGAATTTGAGACATTCTCCAGTCTCCTGGTGCTTCCCGAACCTGAGAACAGCTTTCTTGGGGACATGTGCCATTTTAAAAGCTGGGGATTTCTCGTCCTGAGTTCTGTAAACATCCTGGACGATTCCCACGATTGTTGGATGACAGTGCAGAGAATCATTGAAGGCCTTCGCCAGTCCCTCGAACGTCATGTCGTCGTGAGTCGGACCAATTCCTCCGGAAGTTATAACGTATTTATATTTTCCAGAGAACTCCATTATCTCGTTTGCTATCAAATCCACGTCATCACTGATAACAGATATTTTCTCTACCTTCACTCCACACTCCCATAACAACGAGCACATGAAGAAGGAGTTCGTATCCTTCACTTGGGCTTTTAGAATCTCATCTCCAATTACTGCAATTGAAAATTGATATCTGCAATTGTAATTAATATCTTTTCAGGGAGAGCCTCTCGGAAGAAATGTTATAAAACTTTTATGTGGAAAATTCGATTCCCTACAAAAAAAATCTTTTGACATTTTTCTGTACAATGACTCGTTATCGAGATAAAGGCGAATGTACTCTCGATTATTACTAATCAATTTATCCAATAATCACTCACTAATTAATCCAGCGTTGAACTTGTCCCCGGATTTACTGAATGGCCTTGCGGCAATACTGGCGTATCTTCTCAAATTACTGATAGATAAATTACGAAGCAGGTACTGACAAATTTGCAACATTTTCGTCACTTATAAATCCACAAGTAAAAAAAAATCCATAAAATACTTCAAAGACTTTTCATGATTATCTCGAACCAGTGATTATCACCCGTGAATTTAGACATTGACCACCACAACGACCGAAACCTTGCACTTCTCAGGTGATATTCGAGGTTAGGGCTGAACAATCAGCTGATGCTGTCCTGTGCTGCTCCTCCAACAGTGAAAGACCAAAAAAATAATAATAAAAAACTCCCACATTCTCAAACCCTGAATGTTGATGCATTTTACACAATAGTATTAAATCAACAAAAACACAAATGAGATAAACACAATGAGCGGTTCACTGTTCCAGCAAACTGTGAAGACACCAAAACAGCTGTACAAGTTTCTTCTTCGTTCGTGTGAACAATTACCCAGTGCTCCCCAGGCATTTTACAAACACTCGATCAAGCAGGTGAACCATAAACAACAAAAATTAATAATTATTTGACAATTATTCGTTTCCTGAACGTAAATAGCAAGAGTTCATGTGCTTTCAACCCCAGAAATTCCAATCATAGATCAATTATTTCCTCTCCAACAATTTGTCCACTTTAAAATCATGAACTTCCTGTTAATTTTTATTGCATAATGATTATTAATTGAATATGTAATCAATGTATCTGATATTATTATTATATTGCACGTTACATGGATAAAGAATTTAGTTATGTGTTATCACGTTATTAATTTAATAATAATTGATGTTGCAGAGTTTTAAACAACATGTTAATGAGCCAGACCCTGAGAGAGTAAAACAAATTATGGAAAAATCCCTGAGTGATGCTGAATGGTTCTTCAAGAAGGTATTAATTAATTTGATCATCTACTGATTGTATTTGCTGAATTAGATATCAACTAATTATTAAATAATTATCGCATTGATCCCATTATTTTTTGCAGTACAAAATCGACGTGAACGTTCTCTTATCAAAAACCTTCAAATAATACATCAGGCCCCCAAGAAAGCCATGGAATTCCTCGATTTATCAGCTCAAAAGCTCAATGGGCCCCTTGAACAATTCTGGAAGACAATTGAAGTCTGGATAAACAACCCTCACTTAATTAATCGTCGAGTTTTATCCTCAGTCACCCTCTGGAGATTTCAACTGGCCCGTAACGAGGAAAACTTCCTCGACAAAATCGAAAATATTTCTTCAGACCACTTGTCTCCAGTCCTCTCGGACATTTTTCCCCAGAATTCACTACAAAAGGACGTGAATCCATTTGAAAATCCTGAAAACAATTATCTACTCGTCAGAAAATTATTTCCCCGTGATGAAGCCAATTATTCCACAACCCTTGATTTTTTTATCCTGGATGGGCCCAACACCTCTGTCACGTGGGCCTCGAGGAATTTAAACCCAGAGAAACGATCTCTAGGCTTTCGAGTCCCCTGCAGGATCATTATGCAGGAATCAACTATTAAATTATCTGTTGGAAATAATTCAAATGGATCTATAGACAACGGAAACGTCACTTGGTTGAAGGAGAGACTGTTCCCTAAACTGATAAAGTGGATTGAAGCTGATCCTCGGAGGAATACTCTGGTTGATGGATCGTTAAACCTCGTGTGTCCAGAAGAATACACGAACTTGTATAATACTCTGAAGAAAAAATATGGGCCTGAACTTGTAGCAAAGTGGCCTGAGTGCACAGACCCCGCGAAATTTGTCTACGAAGACGTTGCAATTGCCTCTTATTTGATTTTACTCTGGGAAGAGGAGAGGAGAGACAAGGGATTTCATGAGAAACAGTCGTTTTTAGATCTTGGGTGTGGAAATGGACTGCTCGTGTATATTTTGACGAGGGAGGGCTATCCAGGGGTTGGGATTGACCTGCGGCGACGAAAAATCTGGGATTTATTCGCAGACACGAGATTAGAGGTGTTTTTTTTTTTCTTAAACTGTAGTAATTTTTGAAAAATGTGTTCATCCACTCATTAATATTTTTTCAGGAAAGAATAATAATTCCATCATCAAAATCGCTGTTCCCTGAGACTGATTGGCTAATTGGTAATCACTCGGATGAACTTACCCCCTGGATCCCAGTGATAGCAGCTAGGAGCTCGTACACATGTAGATTTTTTCTGTTGCCATGTTGTGCCCACGAATTTGACGGTCGGAAATACCAGAGAGACTCGGCCTCCAGCAGTCAGTACTCCGAGTACCTGAAGTACATTAAAACAGTCTGTGAGACCTGTGGCTTCACTCCGAAAGTCGATAGACTACGAATTCCCTCCACCAAGCGAATTTGCCTGATCGGTCAGGCCCGGAATTACCCCGAGGAAGAGACGCACTCCCAGGACATGAAAATCGAGAAAATGATCACAGCAAGATCCCTGAACCCCGCAGGGACCGAGAAAACAAACGAATGGACGACTGACTTCAAACCTCGAGAGGTTGTCGAGAGGGTCAGGAACTGTACCCAGATCGATCGCAACGTCATCAAGGAGATTGTGGAGCTGGTGGCCAAGGAACTCCTCCGAAAGACACGAAAAATCAGTCTGGATCATTCAGGAAACTCCGGAAAGCTGTGGAACGCTGGGGGACAGTTGGGACTCGCTGAAATAGCGAAAATTGTAACTCCTGAGAGCCTCAAGCAGCTGAAAAATGAGTGCGGGGGTCTCCAGACTCTCATTAAAAATCACAGCCACATTTTCCAAGTGGTGGATGGGTCTGTGCAATTCAGAATTCCTGGCTCTGCTTCCAATCCTAAGAGAAAAAAATCGGGGAGATCGAAAATCGTCGTGAGGGTCAAGCCCTGTTGGTTCTTTGGAAATCATCCTGACGGCTGTCCTCTGGCTGATGACTGTTGCAACTTCAAGCACTCGACGCAAACTGATATGAGTAATAAAGTAGTTCGTTAAATACTTCTGTACTGATTTATTCATTTCTGTGGTGTCTGCCCCTTAGCCGACTCGGTACTGCCTCAGTAGCAGTCCCGCTGTCAAAGGGACCAATCGACAGGATGAATGTTATTTTCAGCGTTACGAAATTGGTATTCATTTTCTCATAAAAACTCGATTTTCTCGCGTTCTATGCGTCCTAGCGCAAAAATACGCCCAGATTCGTAAAGGGCGCGACGAGACGCATCGATT